GTTGGCGTCTCTCTCAGCGCCGTGCTCTGCCGCCTCCTCAGGTCTCCAGACGCTTCCTGGCACCTCCTGCGACGTCAGTTCTAGACGATACGACCGGGAGCCTGGAGACGAAGACGTAATTGGTGAACAGATTTGTCGAAGCAACTGGCAACAACAATAATACTATTGACGCAGTGAACTACTGTTAGACACTTGTGGCACTGTTTCGTGCGCGATTGGGAATAAGTGTTTCCTAAACCCTCCTGAACAATTGATCACATACTATAGGTCGGAAGTGAAGAAAGCTTCTCCACTTCGCTGGCCCAACGGGCCAGAGGCGTGCCAAGATCTCTGGCAACTGGCTCACAGTATTTCTAGTGAGCGCGCGCGGGGCGGCCCCTGGGGGTCCCCGGACGAAAAGTACCCCGGCAAGGTCCCGGGAGAAGCCCCCAGAGCGCTCCAGGAGCGCACCAACAGGGCCCCGAGACGTCCCCGAGAGTCCCAAGAAGGGCCAAGAGAGAGTCCCAAGAAGAGCCAAGAGCGCCCAAGAGGCCCCCAAGACGGTACACCAAGGGTCCGAGATGCCACAAGATCGCTCCAAGACGCTCAAGATAGCCCCCAAACGTTCCACGAGGCTTTCAAGAGCACTCCCGAGAGGGCCCCAAGAGGCAACATTATTTGTTTTTCCTTAGGTTTGGGGGCGATTTTGGCGTTTCCACCTTTTCGGCATCGCGGCGCCCCAAGACGGCCCAAGAAGCCCCCAAGATCGCCCTAAGAGGCCTCCGACAGGGCCCCAAGACGGCCCAAGAGGGTTCCAAGACGGCCCAAGAGGCCTCCAAGACGGCCAAAGAGGGCCCCAATAACGCTCCAAGAGAAGCCCCAGAGGGGGAACACGAAACAACATTTCGAGCCCTTGGCCCTGAGAAGCCCCCAGGAGGCGCCAAGAGGCCCCTAAGAAGCCCCAGGAGGCCCCCAAAAGGCCTTCACGAGGCCCCCAAGAAGCTCCCAAGCGGCTCCAGGAGGCCCCCCAAAAGCCCCCCCGACCACGCTAGCAAGCGCCAACGATGCTACAATATGGGCAGCAGGCACAAAGAAATTCCGGGAAACTTCTGCACAGCGCTCCGTCTACCCTCCTCAGGCACTCCTCCTCCTTTTCCTCCTCCTCATCCTCCTCCTCCTGATCCCCTCCTCCACTCCTCGACGGAGCGGTCCATCGCCGGATGGGCGTCGCAGTAGGCGCCGCGGGCTTGCAGCGCAGCGCCCAAAGGGTGAGACGGCCGCCTCTACGCTGCTGGACCTCCGGAGGCCTCTGGAAAGCTTCACGCGGAGAGATTTCGGGCTCCCGTGCCATCAAAAATCTGCCCGCCGGATGGAAGACCAGCCTCGGGAACAGGTGGAGAGGTCTGGGGGGCCGCGCATTGAAAAAGACTACGGCATCGTCCTCGTCCTCCTGCAAGCCTCCAATGTCGCCCCAAGGCAGCCCAAGAGACCTCCAAGACGGCCCAAGAGGCCCCCGACACAGCCCAACATGGCACCAGGACAGCCCAAAAAGGAGGCCCAAAGTGGGGACCGAAACGGACATATCGAGCCCTCGGCCCCAAGCGGCGCCCAGAAGCCCCAAGATGCCCCCAAATGCTCCCAAAGGAGCTCCAAGAAACCCCAAAAAGGCTCCAACAGAAACCCAAGAAGCCCCCAAGAAACCCCCAATGAGGACCCCAAAAGACCCCCCCAAGGCCCAAACGCCAGCGAGGGCACAATACGGGCCGGCGGAATGACCGAAGCGATTAAATAACCGAAGGTTTTGCTCACAGTGATTTTGCCATACGGACCACAATACGTTTGGGAAGATATTCTATCTTTGGGCAGACAGGACACTTGCGTTAGCATCCTGGTATTTCTGATTGCGATTGCACCTGGGTATGCAATTCGACGGTGTTCCGAACACATCCCGCCTCCCGAATAACGAAACACTTCGTGAACCTGCTGCTGGACGACAAAACCGTTGCTGAAAGCTATCAGCGCAGGATCTGCGAGGCTACAGTGGTGGCAGAAAGTGCGGGGAGTTCCAACATACATGCCAACTCATTACAAGTCCGATGATAGGTGCTGCAAAAGACATTGTACAAACTAGAAGGGAACCACGGCGGCTAGTGAATTCTTCAGCCACGCTTGGTTTCTCAGCCCTAAAAAGGAATGATGTGATGGGGCAACAAAAGCTGAACATATTCATTAAAGCATTCGCGAGGAAAGACAGATCGAAGTGGCAGGAATAACATCGACGGAAGACATTGGGCCGCAGTAAGTGCGCTACATATTGGGTCGCTGAAGCGACCAATTCAGATTTATAATAAAGATGGACATGTGGTGAACAGTGCACAACGAGCTGATTATTTGGTAGATGACTTTGAACATACACAAAGAACAATTACATAAACAAATCTCCTCCCAAAATGTCAAACGAGCATTGGAGATATCCTGAAGACTTTCACTGGCACCTTCGACAAAGAAGAAACTGAAACATGCACTGCGTACGCTGGCAACCGAGAAAGCCGGAGGCATAGACGAAATACCACCAGATTTCTGGAAGGACTCTATTACAGTCTGAAGAAGCTTGCGGGGAAGTGCTTACATGATTTCGAATATGTTAAGACGCAAAGAACATATCAGACGAATGGCATACTTCAAGTGTGGCACTCACACCGGAAGTGCAAGCTTCCTTGACAATTAGAAGCACACTTCTTTGTTACCAATCGGGTGCAACATATTGGCTCGGGCTCGGATGCTCCAGACGCGTGCACAAAACTCACGTGCAGAAGACAAGATACCTTCGAGCCGGTTTGGTGTGGCCTGGGAGAAGCACAACCCAAGCCATCAACATCGCACGACGCATGTTGGAGGCGGCGCCGAGCAATCGAACCCCGATCAGGATCGCAAGATTGATAGACTGGTCAGAAGCATTTAACAAAGTCAGACATGACACTCTAGTGGGAGCTCTCCGCAAATTTGGCCTGCCTCCAAACATAGAAAAATAATACAAACATAAACATGTTGTGCTCCGCGCGGACTTCTTAGATCTGCGCTGAATCCCCCTCCCTGGCGCGGGGAGCGCGCCAAAGGCGGCTCCGGAGGCGCCGTCAGGGGGGCCCATGCGCCGATCAGAGGAAACCACGCGGATCATTGAAAAGTTATGTTTATCGCTTTTCTTCTTCTTAGAAGACATGGTGACCATGACTGCAGCAATTTACCAGCAGTGGGCTGTCACATTAAGCGACCCTGCGAAAGACTGCAGCTAACGACACCAAGCGGTGGGAATTGCACACGTCTGCAAGAGGTGGCCCAAGACGGGGGCCCCAAGAAGCACTCAACATGCCCCGAAGATACCCCAAGAGGCCTCCAAGAGACCCCTACGATGCCTCCGACGCCCTCACCAGGCCCAGCACAAGCCCCGAAAGGCCCCCAAACCGCCACCCAACGGCCTCCAAACTGCCCCCCAGGAGGCCCCCGAGAGACCCTTCCCACGAGATCCTCACGAACATCCAGGAAGCCTCTGGGGGAGGAGGAGGAGGAGGAGGAGGAGGAGGAGGAGGAGGAGGAGGAGGAGGAGGAGGAGGCCGCAGCACGGTGGCGGGGGTGGGCCGGAGGCCACCCGAGATTTTCCCACACGCACGCACACTTAAAATGCGTGGTCTGCCGCTTCGTCGTTTTTTGCCCCCACGTGGCCTCCTGCGGGGCCTCCGATGGCGTGGCCTCCTGCGGGGCCCGCGGGGGGGAGCCCCCGGGAGGCCGCGGGGTGGTCGTGCCCCACGGAGAGGTGCGCACCTCCGCGAGGCGAGGAGGGAATTTGCAAGGGGCCCAAGGGCACACACACACACACAGATAAAACCACACAGATCTAATGATTCCCCATATGTTTCCAACATTTTCTGGGCTTCTGCCTTCCCGCCCGATTCCCACAGTTTCCCATCTTCTCTCGGGGCTCGAGACGATTCATTGTGTCTGTGTGCGTTTGTTCCCCTCCTGAAGTTTGCACGGCTGCTCGGCCCGTGCTGTTTCCGTGCCCGTCTGCATGCCCTATCGCCATCCAGCCTGCCATCGCTCGGACGTCCAGTCCCCTTGCACTGCTTGGTTTCGGGCGTGTTGTTTCCCAGGATGGCTCCATGTGCTCCAAGATGGTAAGATGAGGTCGGGCATGTCCCCTTACATGCGGATTGTGGACGGAACATAACAATGGTCGAAACAATAATCCCAACTGGTCGAACAGTTTAAAAAATCGTCCCGTACATGTCTGGACTATTGTTGCAGATTCCTCCTGTAGAGGGACACGCCCGACAGAATGGTAAGATGCTCTGGCGCTGGCCTCGCCAAGAGAAGTGTACACGTCCGAGCGGGGGGCGTGCCAATCACGACCCGAGGCATGTGCGCGGACCAGGGGGGGGGGGGGGCAGGGAACGCATTGAAATCAAAAGAGTGACCATGAAATCTGGGGAAGTGGCATGGCCCTGGCCATGATATCCCACCCCCCTAGTCATCACCCCCCTCTCGGCCGCTCCCGATGTTTCGACTTTCTTCGAACTCTGCCCCACCCAGGGCCGTGGGGAAACGGAGCAGTCCCATGCCCAAGAGCAGCAGGCGTGAAAGATCTTGGCTGCACCCTGAGCGGCGTCAAGAGTCGAGATCGGCCAGAGTGTATTCCAAGGCCGCGCTAACGGCGATGCTGCTTAACGGTGTTGGGAACTCAGTGGTAGGAAATAACGATTCACACTTTCCTACGTCTCCAACATGCGATAATATCGAGCGAAAGCGACACGGCAAATTGTACGAAAACACGAACAACGAGTTCCCACAATGCCGAAACCTACATCGCCGTTACCTGCATCGCCTTTAGCGTGTCTACGGGCATTCGCCTGTTGTTGAATCTCTAAGCCGTGCGCGCCCCCAGCAGCAACCCTACGGGGCCCAGATGACCGACAAACGCCCAGAAAGGCCCCACACCCCAAGGCAGACACGACGGCCCGACCAGTTCAATATCGCAAAACGCTACAGCAATCGAATACACAAGCCGGGCATACAAATGCTTGCTGATGCGAGCCCCCCTGGCCCTCAGGACAACCAACCTCCCACGGGTTCTGGCTCTTCGTCATCCTGCGCATCATCACCACGCCGCCCACGAATTGCAGCAGCATCGCCAGCCGGGCCGTGTTGACGACCGTGTTCTGCCTGGCCTCCTCCTCGGTCAACAGCTCTTCCTCGGCGGCTGGCTCCGCGCCCGCGCCCGCCTGGCACTCCGCCTCCTGCACTTGAAGCCGGTACCTGTGCCAGGCGTCGGAACCCAGCTGCTCCAGGCGCTGGACGGCGACGACGGCGCCACAGAAGTGGAGCGGCGCGCACATCGTGTTGAGCGCCGCCGCACAGGCGAGCAGTCCTGTAGGGTGGACGTGAACGGGGGTTCCGCCGCCTCCGCGCCACACGAAACTGGCCAGAGCATCCTCGGGCCTCGCGGAATGCTCCCTGGCGATGAACTTGAAAATCGGTTCAAGGGCCCTGTATCCCGAAGCTCCACTGATTGCTGGGCGCAACGCAGTATGTTTCTAACGATCTTGGGGCCATGCGTCGCGGGGAGGCTTCAGCGTGCCGTCCCAGGGCCCTCGTGGGGGTCTTATGGGCTGGCGGCCCAGGGGGCAGCTAAAGAGGCCCGCCCAAGACGGTCACATCTGCCAAATCCGTCAGGTTTGTATGGTATGAAAAATACCGCCTGTTGGTCGCAGCAGCGCTGAACACGGCTCAGAAAGCCCCCAATATCGCCCCAAAAAGGGAAGTCGAACTGACACCTGGAGCTCTCCACCTCTCCCGAGCCCGTCAGCAGGCCCTGTATTACGAAGCGCAGACTATCTTTGCTTGTCGAACGTTGCCGTTGATGAGGCATTCGCCGATCAGGTCACTCCCGCCTCTTCTGGAACAATGCCGCGCCTGTCGCCGTTACGGTCTGTCTGGTCAAAGTGCGCCTGACAAATTGTATATACACGTCTATCAAAGTGGGCCCACATCCTCAAACATTGACCGTGATCCGTAACATCGCGAAGATCCTACGGAGCGCCCGCGAGGCCACCAGAGACTCCAAAGCGAACCCCACGAGGCCACCACAGGCACCAACAAAACAAAAAACAGGGCCTGGATCCCTCCCCCCAAGGGTGGTTGGAGGATCGCCAATAAATAAGCTTGGAAAGCAAGGAAGGCTGAACAACTGGAACAAAGGGGGAGCCAGAAAACGGCAGAAACCTTCGAGGAGGCGCACGGGCTGGAAAAACGGCCGGGCTGCGAATCCAGTGCGGATGCAACCCCGCAGCAGAAGGCGCACCCTTCCCCCGCGCACCACCTTGCCATCCGAAGGGTGGCCTACCAGCCCATTGATAGATCTGGGGGCCAACGAACTGCACTAAAGCGACCCTCGAATTGGCACCTCGTACGCGCATTAAAAGACCGAGATGGGGCATCCCTGGACCCCCCCGGGAAGCCCTAGAAACACCAGAGGAGAAAATGCACAAATGACTCCGACGGTTGGATCCCACATGAAAATATGTTTAGATTGCCCTTAGTCCTTTCTCCCTCGCCCTGGCAGACACCCCCCTTCTCGCGCTCTGCTCTGCCATCGTTATTCTTATATGTATACCCTTCCTCCTTCTCTTCCTCCTCCTCCTCCGTGTCCACCTCCTTCTCATCATCACCCTCCCCCTACCCCTTCCCCCTCCTCATCGCCCTGCGTCCTCTCCATGCGCACCCCCCCTTCCCTTCCGCTTGGCCTTGGCAAGCAAGTCGATTTTCCTCGGCGCCGTCGCCGCATCGGCCAGCGCGCGCGCCTTCGCCGACGGCTAGATCGCGAAGCCTTGGGATCAATCCCGCGGCCCATGCCTTTGGGACAACGACGCGGGCCGCTGGGGCGCGGGGCCGTCGGGACAACCCCGCGGCCCGCGGGCCACGCCGTTGGGACAACCCCGCGGGCCTCGAGGTGGGCGCGGCCGCGTTCCAACAGGGGGGAGCGCGAAACCCAACCGTGCTGCGAGCTGCTCCGCCTCGGTTTTGGAGCTGCTCCGCCTCGGTCCCGGCGCGCCTTCCGCAGGGACGCCGGCGGCCCGCGTTCCAGAAACTCTCGCGTGGGCGGCCGCAGGATCAGCATGTTCCGCATGCGCGTGGCGCGGGAGAACATGGAGCTGCGGGCCCCACAGCGAAGGCGCCGCCGCTCGACATTTCCTCACGACTCGCTCACAGACGAGGCTCCCGCCGGAGGCTTCAAAACGCAAGCCTGGCTGGGGAACCCAACATGGACGACAGGTCAAAGCTTCGCATTGCCCAAACCGGATTACCAATGTGCAGCGCGGGCCCCACAAGGAGCGGGGTCCCGCCTGAGACGAAGTTTTTCAAAACTCAAGCGTGAAGGGCCCAGAGCAGACGGCACTTACAAGATGTGGATGGCCCGCTTCGATTACCAACATGAAGTGTGGGCTCCATAGGGATGGGCCCCCGCTTGAGACGTCCTCGCAGTTCACTCACAAACGAAGCTACCGCCTGAGGTTTCTTCAGAACTCAGGCGTACGGGACCCAAAAGTGATGGCAAATACAAGATCTGGATGGCCCGCTGCGATTGCCAACATGAAGTGCGGGCCCCTTGGGGGAGGGGGGGGGCCTGAGACTTCCCTCCAAATTCACACACAGACGAGGCCCCCGCCTTAGACTTCCTCAAGATGAATGTATGAGCGCGTAGCTGTGTAACTGCGTTTGCATGTGACGGTGAAGAATTGTGGGAGTGATGTCGATGATGATGGTGGTGATGAGTAAGTGAATAAGTGACTGAAGGACTACGTATTGATGGAGATGCTGATGGTGATGATGATTGTGAACGTATGAGTGTGTGTGCGCGTGACGCGGAGAGGGGGTGATGATGATGAAGATGATGATGGTGGTGGTGGTAGTTGTAGTGATAATGATGATGTTGAGGCGGGTTCATGTTCGTGTTCATGCGCTGGGTGCCCAAGGAACAAAAACACCACTTAGGATGTGGGGAACAAGAATCAACAATTGTTCCCAACCGACTTGTGGTGTCGGGTCCTCGTTTTGAAGTGACGGTCCCCGCGTTCCTCCTCCCTCCTTCTTTCACTCTCCCCCTCCTCCCTCCTCCCCATCCTCCCTGCGTTTCATCCACCCAGTACAACGTTTCGTGGCCTCATAGGAGCTCCATCGAAGGCCCCAGTGGCAGCGGCCTCGGGCCATTTCGGCACACCCCTCGCAATGATCGTGGCCCTTTAATGAGCTCCACCGAAGGCGCCAAACGCCGGGCTCGCATGGCGGCCTCGGGCCATGTGGGCACACCCCTCACGAGGATCGTGACCCCATAAGGAGCTCCACCGAAGGCGCCAGTGGCAGGGTTCGCATGGCGGCCTCGGGCCATTTCGGCACACCCCTCACGAGGATCGCGGCACCATTATGTGGGAGCTCCACCGAAGGCGCCAGCGGCAGGGTTCGTGTGGCGGCCTCGGGCCATTTCGGCACGCCCCTCACGAGGATCGCGGCACCATTATGTGGGAGCTCCACCGAAGGCGCCAGTGGCAGGGATCGTGTGGCGGCCTCGGGCCATGTCGGCACACCCCTCACGAGGATCGTAACTCTATAGGGAGCTCCACCGAAGGCGCCAGTGGCAGGGTTCGTGTGGCGGCCTCGGGCCATTTCGGCACACCCCTCGCGAGGATCGTGGCCCCATAGGGAGCTCCACCGAAGGCGCCAGTAGCAGGGTTCGCGCGGCGGCCTCGGGCCATTTCGGCACACCCCTCACGAGGATCGCGGCCCCATGGGAGCTCCGCCGAAAGCGCGAGTGACCAGGTTCGTCGGCACACCCCTGACGAGGATCGTGGCCCCATAGGGAGCTCCATCGAAGGCGCCGGAGGCAGGGTTCGCATGGCGGTCCCGGGCAATTTCGGTACGCCCCTCACGAAGATCGCGGCCCCATAGGGGCTCCGCCGAAAGCGCCAGTGACCGGGTTCGCATGGCGGCCTCGGGCCAGGTCGGCACGCCCCTCGCGAGGATCGTGGCCCCTTAGGGAGCTCCATCAAAGGCCCCAGCGGCAGGGTTCGCATGGCGGCCTCGGGCCATTTCGGCACACCCCTCACGAGGATCGCGGCACCTTAGGGAGCTCCATCGAAGGCCCCAGCGGCAGGGTTCGCATGGCGGCCTCGGGCCATTTCGGCACGCCGCTCACGAGGATCGTGGCCCCGTAGGAAGCTCCACCGAAGGCGCCAGCGGCAACGTTAGCATGGCGGCCCCGGGCCATTTCGGCACGCCTTTCACGAGGATCGTGGCCCCATAGGAGCTCCACAGAAGGCGCCAGAGGCAGGGCTCGCCGGCCCCGGGCCATTTCGGCGCGCCCCTCGCGAGGATCGTGGGTTCGCATGGCGGCCCCGGGCCATTTCGGCACGCCTCTCGCGAGGATCGCGGCCCCATCCGCGATGCTTCAACCCCGACGACCAATTTAGAGATCGCGCGCGCTCTCGCCAGTCTCGCACGAACCGACGCCGGGCGCGATCAGGAGACCCGCTCCAGTCATCAGCGACAAGAGGCGGAGCGTCCTGCAACGGGGACATTTCCGATGAGCCACGCGCAGGCCCCGCAGAGGCAGCGGCGACAGATTGGCCATCCCGGCAGCTCAGAGGCGCGTGGCTCACGGGGGCCGCGGCCCTTCTGGGACCTTGCCCTTCGGGGCCCCATTCAAACCCTCGGACTGTCTCGTCGGGGCGCCTGCTCCTGGTTTCGGGTCGGGCGAAAGGGGGGGATAGCAAAGGGGGGGTTTGAGAATCAGCTCACGTAGCTGATTTTCCCGGCGCCTCCCGGCGCCGGAGGCGGCTATGTATCGAGGAATGGGCCCCTCGGTGAGGCCGAAACCAGCTGCATGCAGCAAATTTCGTAACCCCCCCTTTCCCAATCCCCCCCTTTCGCCCGGCCCGAAAATCGACGACGCCGAGCGCATCTGCGGTGGCCAGGAAGCTCCCGGCGCGCGACCCATGGACTCTGCCCCGTCTTCGCCGCGCCGCGCTTGAGCTCTGGCGACAACGTGTCCGCGGCCGCGCCCGCTCCAGAGCGGAGGAGGAGGAGGAGGAGGAGGAGGAGGAGGAGGAGGAGGAGGAGGAGGTTGGCCCACCGGGGTCGAAACTCGAGACGGGTCGCCCCAAGTTGGTCGACGATACTGTGGACCCTTCGGGCGACGACCTCGAAAAAAACTGACGATGACAGATTCAACTGTTCGCATGTGCCTCTCACAAAGAACGGAACACTTTCGGCGGGCCCGCTTGCTGGCGTTGACGCGCGGTGAATCATGCTGGGTGGCCCCACCGCGAAGCTATCAGGATGC